CCCACCCCTTATCACCTGCGGCAGCTCTGTCTGGCAGCTGGCAACCAAAATGAGACCACAGGCTTGTTGTTTCCCACATATGCTGACTTCTGCTCCATAAAAAGAAATTCAAAAGGGTTGATCAGTCTTTGCCTACTACTATGCAAAAAACAAGCAAATAAATGTTGAGCCATTTAATTTTTAGGTAGCTTATACATCTACTAATGAAAGAGACCAGCATTAAATAAAATCAACACCAAACTGGAAACTGTCAAAGCGAAAGACAAATTGTGACTATGATAGAACAACAAAAATTCAATTGAAGAATTTTTTGAAAATTAATTTTAAAACATTTTATTCATTAACTAACAGTCAAATCTAATTCTTTTTTGTTTATCATTTTCAGAACAATGTTACTCCACTGCTTAATATGACATTAGTTTTCAGCATCAGGTTAATAATATAAAATAAAGTGTACCTGACCAATCAGACACAGGTAGGTCCCACCCTCTTAAATATACTACCCTCTTTTCACATTCGTGCCAAAAATGTACATGCACAAAAAACTGCTATTATATCATCATACATCAATATTTTTTCAGCTTTTTTTTTCATGTTTGGTAGTTTTGAGCAAGTCTGAAGCTGTTTAAAGGATTTATGAAAAAAAGCAGAAAAAATATTGATGTATGAAAAATTAATATTCATATTTTGTATGTGTACATTTTTGGCACGAATGTGAAAAGTGGTTACAAAATGCATAAAAAGAGTATAAATGACATTTAAGAGTAAATGGCACTGGATTTCAAAAATATAACTAAAAAATAACTTTCCTGCCAAATTTCATGCCACAAACTGCAACACAGCCAAAATGATCGCCAAATCAAAAAAAAAAGTTCTGCTCAACCGTTGTTGCCCGAATAGGGCACAATATTTCATTTCATAGGGCACAGCCCAAGCATGATTACAAATTGACTTTACTTTCTAATTTTATATTTCCGGTTTTTCTGTCAGACAGTTCATAGATTAAAACAAATTTCTGAAAAAAACGAGTCCAAAATCGGACTGAAATGACAACTGGAAAATACAGTTTAAGAGCTAAATTTAACTTGCAATTTTCTTTGTCATTTCCCAACTAGAAAAGTGAACTGATAAGTGTTACAATAATAATAATGCATAATTTAAATGCGGAATTACAACTACCTATTTCTGTTTTAACACAAAGCCACAGCTTGCTTGAAGAGATAAACAACAAAAACAACAAACCAAAGCCCCTCAGATGTCATTTGAGGAAGAGGAGGAGTTCATGTAAAGCAGTAGTGTCTATGTGATTCACTCCCACGCATTTTAAAGCAAAGACAGCTGAAATCTGAACAGTGTTACCTTTGGACCTGGGTCTCCCATGTAAGGCCCCAAGTGCCCCACCACCACCAGCAGCTGATGTCAGCGGCTTCGGTTCAGTCATAGTAACCTTGCTGGTGGCTCTGATCTTTGATGTTCAGCGGAAAACTCCTCAAAAACTTTTCATTTCACTTGTATCAAATTCCACAGCAGTAATCTGACTCTACATTACTGCATAACCCTGGTTTGGCTCTTGTGTTTTGCCAGAGGAAACTTTGATAGCTTTTTTTTCCTCACTGAGGGTAAATAGTGTTAACTTCTTTATAATGTGATACTTATATCTACACTATTAGTCAACAAAATTCTCACAGTATCTTGAAACTTCTGGAGGGCAGGCGGGCATAAATCACCATGTGAGCAGGTTTAGTACCAAGGCGGATGTTACTGGTTATAGATTATGGGCTTCTGCATTCTCTGAAGGACAGATGCTCTGTGTTAAGCTGGGCATGCAGCACATTTTTAAGGACTTGTGTATAGTTAATATTAGCTCAAAATAAATAGACAGCCCAAACAGGCCTATAAAACCCCTGAATTTACAACCAACAAACCTGCTCCATGTACCTCCACTGTAGTCAGCCAGATCTTATAATGCAAAATTAAAATGTCTTAATCTATGATGGCTATATGGAAAAAAGGATAATGTGGCTATAAAACAACCCTAAACAAATGACAAAACAGCAACAACCTAATGTTAAAGATAATAATTAACAACGCTATGTATTACTACTTAAGTCAAATCTCCCATGAGACGTTAATGTTCCAGAAACAATTAAATTGTTTCATGATACTTGTTTCTAACAAAGAAATACACTACCAGAGTTTTTGAAAGACCTTGGTGACGTTATATACAGGTCAGTGTTACACATGTCCAAAAAGGTTGAATGATAACCAAATTTTAAAAATGGTTTATTGCATATATCAAACTGTCGGGAAATAACAAGAGGATATCTGGCATCCACATGCACCGCTCATTTATGTCTCTGCCAGTGGCAGTACAACCATCTCCCACCGGAGCAGAAGCCAAGAGTGACATTTCCTCACTTGGCAAGACTGCAGGACCTCACGGGCGGTCCTGACCACTCTCCCCCAGAGAAAGTACTTTGTCCAAAAAGTCACCAGATTTGTTGCTAGTTGCTTTTTTTTGGATAACTTATAGGGGTCCTATAAGT